TGACAGCCCCCCCCTCCCCGTCAGGGAATGCTGGACATACAGAATAGGCCTATTTATTAAACCAGAAACATGTTTAAAAAAATGTAGTCTGGATTCCGCCATTCATCCCTGTCCTGATAAAACAAGATATTTATTTGTCTGCTAATATCAGGAGGCATTTGTTTTTGATTCCTTTAATTGATTTTCCATTCACTAATTATTTCATAAGAAGCCATTAATCACTTTGATAGGAAGAAAGTCTTCCAGAAATCCATGTTTATGATCCATTCATCCACAGCTGTTCATTCCTACATTTTATCTATATACTTTCATCTCTGCATCCATTCCTGTTCTGGTTAAAAACAATGTATTTATTTGTTAATTTCAGGAAGTATTTATTTATGATTCCTTAAATTGATTGTCCACGCATTAATGATTTCATTTCCAGGACTGCCATAATAATAACTTCCATAGGAAGAAACTCTTCCAGAAATCCTCCAGTTCATAAGTGTTAAGGAAATCTTAAATACTAAAGACATAATCTAGATAATTAACTTAGACGGATTTGTCACAACACCTAAAAATCTAATTGATTTGGATATTTCTTGTTGCATGAGATGTGATTAGGATCATTTCGTATTGAATGTGTTTTGACAGTCAGTACAGATGTTGTTCTTATTTAATAATGTAAAGCTATCACTTTTCCTTTCTATAATATCAATAATCATGAGATTACAGAAGCTTTCCATAGCCTTCCGAGTTTTTATGGGTTTACAGGGTCATAGCCAGCATTGCCTTAGGGATGGGATTTGAGGGGAGTGGGGGGTGGAGGTGGGTGAGATGCATTTAAATTTTTTTGTTTTTAAATTTTAACTGTATCAACACTTTAATGTATTTCATTTTTAAAGTTAAGTGATGAAATTTTAATGTTTTTTAATTATCTATTGAAGGGGTTTTTTTTTAGGATTCCAATTGTGTAATTCAGATAAATCAGCATTGATGTTGTTCAACCTGAATTGAATCTGAATAAAGGATACTTTATGACTTATGACACAGAAAGTTTTCATTGTACTTGAAGTATAAGTCAATACTTGTCTTTTCTTGTGCTAATGATTATGTACGCCATTCGGTACGCTAACAATTTGTATGCTAGAAGTTGTATAATTACAGTAGCCTATCCAGACAAGTAGAAATAATACCCACGACAAAATACCATCTTCTCGTGATTTTTGTATGTCAGGCGTATAAGATATTACCCCGTGTTTTACCGTCATAATTTATACCTTTTGCTGCTTTTTTTTTTTTTTTTTTTTTTGGGTCTTGAGACTGCATTTAGCTGGCTAAAAACTGAACCAAATGCAGGGCCAATCTACCAAATAATACCATTTTATGAGATTTTAAATGTTTATCAAAATCTTATTTCCCCTTATTTAAAATTGCGTTCATTCATAGGCTTACTAAAATTAATAGTTGGCTTCATTGCAGTAGTAAATTAGACGATCCACACAAAAGGCAGACATGATTTTAAAGATCCCCTGTTTTTAGATTGTAATTTGCTATATTAAGCCTTGTACATCTTATACGAGAGTACAGTGTATCGGTAATGTAGTACAAGATGATGCATCTCCAGACCAGTTTTCTAGACAGGAATTTTGATGGTTAGTTCAGACATGGAGGTATTAAAATTAAAATCTAATTTTATACCTCCATGGTTCAGACAATGTATGAATGGATTGTAGGAAGTGCATTATAATTAGTGTTAATTAGTGTGAATAATCTAATTACTTAGTTATTTCCTAGGTAAACCATTTAATCTTGTTTCATATTATGATCTGTAGCTATGTTGTGGTTATTCAGTGTCTGCAGAACTGCCATTCTTTCAATTAAAATCATTTCTTGTACAGTGTGGTGTGGTTTGGTGGTTATTTATGACTTCCTTCAATTTCAAGATTCTTGTCTTCATTCTCAGCAAATAATTTTTCATCAGACAAGCTATATTCATTTAACATTTTTTTATTTTTTCATCATCAACAATGGCTTCATTTTTTATGACATGCTCCTCTATGACATTTCAGAATTTTGCAATTAGTGGCGGTGTGGGTGCCCCACTCCAACACACCTAGGTTATAAGATTCTTATGTATGTCTGCCCTATAAAAATAATTTTTAAAAAAAATTATAAAAATGGTCGTAAGTAATAGTGGAGTTGTTTTTTTGTCACTTGAGAGGATTTGAACGTAGGACTTTTGGATTTTAAAACAAGCAAGCATCTATGGTAACCGCCAACCTTCAACTCCAGTCCTACTTGATTTGGTTTCATACAAAATGATCACACAAGAATTTCTCATTGAAGATAGTAATCATCTATTTCTATTGCAAAATACCATGTTGTTATGCTAATTAGCTTATCTGATGGTCACGTTTCTACCTCAAAAGTTTTGAAACTCGAAGAAACAGAACTGTCGCTGAATTGATAATGATTTAGATCATAAATTCAATAGTAGGCCCTACTCTCATCAGTAGTTTAGGTTTCTAGGACTGTATGCAATATAACACTTCAAAACCCTCCCTGAGCAAGTCAGTTTTGTGTCTTTGGACAATTACAGTAAGCACTCTATCCACGCTGTCTCTCTCCACCCAGGAGTATAAGTGGGTACCTAAGAGACAGTCCAGTGCCAATTCGCTGATTAGTTTCACGCAGCAAATTATGGAATACTCCTCCACTTCTGAATGTGTTCCATAGGCATCGTTCAGTGTGAAGCGCTCTGAGACTTGTGGGGACTTGTAGAGCACTATATAAACACTACCATATTCATAGTTGACTCTGTATCACTTCTTGATACTTTTAAAAATGTGTTTGTGTATGGCAAGTCTATTAGTATGACTTGTACAGCGCAAACAATTATTTCCTGATAATTGATTTGAATTGAATTTTATGTGAATTTGTTTAACATCAGTGACATCATAGTATAGTAGCTATTAAATAAAAAGTATTCATGTCTCAATATGACATTTACAGGACTATTTATCTAGCAGTTATAATTTCCCCATTTTCAGTCATTTTTTGGGCCCAACCAAGTCACCTTTCATTTGCTCACAGCAAACAAAATATATTTTTTCATTCTTTTTTTTAATGAAAATGAAACATTTTTACAATATTTCTATATTACCCTAAAATTAATTCTTCTATATTAAAATTAATTAATATTATACAATACTACTGTATTAATTTTGTAATTAAAATGACTCAAGGCCTATTTCCTTTATTGAACTGGTTGTCACTGGATTTGGTTTTCTTTGTACATATTATGGAATGCTTTCAGTGGCCTATCACAGCATTGCACAAATATCACAATCAATTAGTACTGTAGACCTACCAGTACTATACAGGAACACAAAGAAAATTCCATGACGTGATTGTGAAATTGGACTGACATGTTACAGGCCTTTTGGTTGCATCATGCTCCATGCATCGTACTTGTCTGGGAATGCCTGTCTATAGGATATTCCAATTATAAAAGGTCATTAACATGCTATTTTTATTATTTTTTATAAAATTAACTAATTTTACATGGTTTTCAGTATTGTTGTACAATAAATTTTTATTGTTAAAAAAAAAAATAGTTATATAAAAATATTAATTTTATTATAATTTATTTATTTATTCTGCCTTTAACGTGATAACACTTTCAGTGACGCAGCACTGATCTCACTACAGTAGTGGATGAAATGAAAAGATGAAAAATGCCAAAGTAGAACAAAATAAAACATAAATATAAATATACAGAAACTTAAATGAAATAAAAAAGAAAAAATTTAAATGAATTTAATTTAAATTTAAAGGAAGACAAGAGAACAGAGGGTGGTCAGAGAGACCTACAGTAATTCATTTTTTGTTTGATCAAAGTTTTAAAATTTTAAGTTGGAGATCATTTAATTCTTTTTTAATTTGATTTGGAAGTTTGTTAATACCTGTAATTAAAGCAAAGATTTTTTGAAAGTTGAATACTGTGAAAAACTATTGCTGATATGCTAATAATGCATCCAGTCTGCTAATTTACCAAAATTTGGAAATCTCATGGCAATTACTACAAAGGAGGTATAAAATACCTCCTTGGTACTTATACTATATCGTAGTTGAGTATAGTGAGTGGATTACGATTAAAATTCGTAACGGTACTGGGTTTGGTCTACAGGAGTTCATGCTTCAAACAGGTCATTCCATTCATAGAAGAAGCCTTTTGATGGAGAAAGTGTACCTATTAGCAAAGGTTTGCCCAGGTCGAAACTACAGTAACTCCGGCTATATAAAATTGATCATAAGATTGAAAAATATTAATCTTATTATTGTAGTAGTGATACTATGTACACGTTTAAATTATTGTTATTTATTTGTTAACGTCATTATATTTAAATTTAATGTTTTTTTTAAGTACTGTATGAATTACTATGTCCATGTAAAATTAATCTTTTCTATTAAAATTGTATATTTTAAATAATATAATAATATAATAGGCATAGCCGAGGTCTAGCCTAAACCTAGGCCTAAACGAGTGACTATAACATGTGAGTGTATAACATTATGGAAAATATGAATAAAACGTAAAAATTGTGAAAAAATAAAGGAAGAAGGAAGAATAGGAAAGAGATTTGGAGTGGCTAAAATATTTCCAAAAATATACAATAGTAGTCAATATGCTATTATTGCATTTTACATTTTTGTAAACAATTTTGGGCACTAATTTTCAGGTCTCGGTGCCACAGCCTGCATTTTTCATATTGAAATCGAATCAAATCTTGTCAACGGATACTGTACAAAGACTAAGCTAGTACTGTACTACAGTGGTCCTCCTCTGTTCACAGTTACTTCCTAGTAAAGTTTGATTACGTGCTTGTAGCTTGCTGGTAGACTGCAAGTTCAAACATGCCTCACCAAAAATTCTCCTTAACATCTTCACAACACAAAGCAACTGAGATTCCAAAATGTCTGATTGAACATTAGACAAAATAATTGAAAAATAAACTACTGTGTTGCTTCTAGCTACTTTTATTTGATAATCAATTATTGATCTTAATAATATATAATTACACACTCTCTTTCTCTCTCGTTATCGTTCTCTTTGTCTTCATAATTTTAATATGGTGCAATAAATGTTGATCTAAAAATACTGCACTTTCCATAGTTACTGTGAATCTCATTATTTACAAAAATACATGACAATTAAAAATCTCATGTCAACAGGCGATCAACAAGCATCATGAATTAAGTATTACATAATTGTTTTCAAAGTTTTTTTAAGATGGTAAAAACTATTTTGAATTTGGTATCAGGTTTTTAAAATCTCAGAAACCATACATTTTGGGCTTATGTTTTTTAAAATTGTATGTGTATAAATATTACAGTATTCAAATTTAAAAGCCATGAATGCTTACCCTGGTTAAATTTTTAAAACGTCTTTAATCTGTGCTATAACAAAACTTTTAACATACAATAAACATCATAAAGATTTTTTGCCAATTCACATGCTATGATAATACAGTATATACCACAAACCAGTGGTGGTAATACAAACAAGGCTACAGCACATGTTTTAACTATTTATATGCTTAGAATGTAAAATAGGTACCAATTATTTAAACTTGTTTCATAATAAATATGGCAATTGCTGTATCAATGCTTAAAAACCATGCATAATATTTAAACAATTTTATCAACAAGAGATTTTCTTTAAAATAACATTTAGATTCAAATTTAACATTTAACTATCTGGAAAAACTCCATTAGTAATAAATGATAATGTATCAATGATATTAAATGATACTATCAGTCATATTACAGTATAGCAAATAGCATCATTTGTTTTCTCTGTTGGTATCAATGTTTTTCTCACTTTGTTCTCATCCTCTTCACTGTGTTGACATGATGGTATTGTCAGTTTCTCTTCTAAGCCGCATGCAGTATGTTGAAGCTGGTAAATGAAAGACAGCAACCCCCACATCTGCTTTCAGGGGGGAGGGGCACATTGTGGAACACTTCCTCTTGGTCACAAACTCTTTTTAAACTTGAATTACACTTTAAATAATATGCTGCCAAACCTGTTTTAGAAATGTACAGTTTCTACTAAGTGTTTTCAAGACATTTCAGAGTTTCTTTCTAGTCTTGCCGTTCACTTGATGCGATGCCCGTGGGTGAGGAGCCACCCTGCGCAGCGGCGATTAGCATGCGATACATCCTCAATGTATTCATCTTGCGTGCTGCATTTCCAGATCTTTTTGTCTGATGTTTTCTTGCCTGATGGGAATAATCCTCGTTTTGGTGGGTTAGAGTTCTTTGTTACGCATTTCTTGTCCTTTCGGTGTCCATGAGTTAACAGCCAGCCTGGACAACGTAGAAAAACATGAGCGATGTCCTCAACGTAGTCTTCGTTCTGCATTTGCATGACTGCAGATTTTTCCTGTTTCGTTTCCTTCACAAGTGTAGGCTTCATTTTGATGGTAAAAATTTTCAATTTCAGCTGTAAATGCACACTGCTTCAGTAGCTGTAATATCTGCTAGGCTGCAATATTTCAAATATGAGCTTTGGAACACTCAAAAGCCTATGAAATTTAAATACTGTAATGTATAGTTTGTATGTGCAGTATATGAAAATATACTCGACAACAAGCAGGCTGTATTTAAATAATGCTTTGTATGAAACCGGCTTTTATATTCTCCTCAACAGCTGATCATTGGCAAGTGTTTCGCAATCTGCAGAGCAACGGCCCTCTGATTGGTCAATTTCCAGTAAGCATATTCAACCACAAAGGGTTTTCCCAATACATATTGTATGGTAATTTCAAAGGACCTCCTTTGTTGATATGATCTGAACTAAACTCTTAACCTTAAATAAACAATTGCAAGCTTTAATGATCAAAACAACTACAGTACTCTACTACAGGATAATACTTTATACTGTACAGTATAACAAGCAAGGTAACAGTGCTAAAAATAGATCTCCTATTACAACATCTGAAAACATATTAAATTGGGCTTTTCCATGTTGACTCAGTGCAAAAAAATGGTACATTCCAGAAAATTGAGAGTAATTATTATAAACAGAGTGGATATACTGCCCTCATCTGATCACGCCACATTTGTTGATGTCATCAGCTTATGATGTCATTAACCTGATAGTGTGGTTAACATAATTAAATTCATTCACTCATGTTTCAGCTTATCTAGGTGTATGTCCATGGCCATGCTATACATTAATAACAAGGTCATTTTATAATTTCCAATTTTTAAGTCGGCTGTGGAAGCTTTGTGGCTATTTTTTGGCCTTTATGCAGAGACACAGTAATTATTTTATTCAATTACATGTTCATTATTATTATTATTATTATTATTATTATTATTAGTATATAGTATTCTTTGTTCTGATGAGCCTAGAAAGAATCATAAAGGGAAAATTAAGATGGGTTTATTGTTTATGACAGCACATTTACATGGAGACCCTATACAGCAGTGGTCAGGGAGAAGGGGCTTGATCCCCTGTCAGATAGGTCAGCCTCCTGTCGAACATAAATTATTGAACCAAAACAAGAAAAAAAAAAACTTTATTTCTAATTAAAAAAAATTCTGGGCATTATAAACAGCTTAAATAGCCCAAAATGTTTGTATGCTAGGAGGCATAGACATAGACTGCCAACAAGGCTACAACCCTTGTCCCTCATCAGAAATTGACACTTAGCCCCATCACTTCCCGACCTGAATCTACAAAAATCCTGAAATTTCTCTCAGGGAAATTTTTTGGATATTGTGTAGACCTACTGTATTATTTAAACGTTCATTAATTGGTGAGAATAATTTTTTTTTTCAAATTTTCAGTTGAAAAAAAAATTATTGATGTAGACAAATTAAGTATCAGTTTAAATTAAATTTTTAAGTTTACAGTATATAACATTGTGTGAGAGTAACTTAATGCTGTAGGCCTAACATGAAATTGTTTTGCTACATTTTACAACTGGTTTAATAATCAGGGAGTTGGTTTATTGAACTTGAATTTATTATCCAGTGAACTCCACCTTATATGAATATTTCAGTTCAGTTAATTGTTATCTAATATTATGATCTCCTCAGGGTCATGAATATTTAATAGAATCCTTGCAAGATCAAAGTATTCTTAATTTAGCTGTGAACTTGAAACATGGTATATAGTGACAGTAGTTGTTGTTTTATAATAAACAGGAGCCTTGGATGCTATGGAAACGCAAGTATAGAACCATCCAAGACAACTGCATTGCCTTGGGTACTTGCCTGAATGAAAACTCAAACAGAAGCATAATCTTTTCAAATAATTCAATTATAAGTGACAAGAAATAATATCGCAGAATGAACTAATCTTAATGATTTTATTATAAAGGACGGCACAATAAACAAATTTTTATTATGACGTCATAGTTTTTATTCAGATACTCACATCAGATTCGATATAAGGAATTGGAAAATATATAACTTAACTGCTTAAATAGGAATTTTTATATACCTGCATACAGGTAATATTGATGATGTTTTTCAGCATTTTAACCAAGATGATCATATCTGTGTTTTCAGCCTAAGGCTTTTTCTTGGTCAGTGATTTTGCTACTGTATTCAGAAATTTTAAATCAAGATAGTATTCTTTGTGGTTGGTAATATTATCAATAAGTAATCATATAAATAAAAATATTTAAATTTAATATGAGCAGAATGCAGGCAAAATGAACAAGAGACGGAGGTGTACTATTGATTAACATAAATAATATTTAATGGTTTCCCTCATAATTACCAATTTTTGCAGGGGTGGCACTAGTTGGGTGTGGGAGCAGGTGCCAGGGCACCGTTGGGAAGAGCAGGGTCCCACCGTTGGGGAGAAAATCCACAATTCGTCTGGGAAAAAAACAGTTATGTGTACTGTGTATATTCTACACAGACTCTAAAATCAATAAGCCTTTGAAACCAAATTGTCAACATTTTCAGGGCTTTGCTTACTGGATCACTTTTTAAATATTTTGAATGACCTTGGACCGCCGTCGTGCTAATGCAGGCGTCGCCCCTGAATTTAAGCAAGACCAGGAGTAGTGGAACCATGTGGTTTACAGCAGTAGGTACAGGTTGTAAGTGTTGCTTGGGTTGGGTAGGAAGAAATTTATATAGAAATTAATTTTGACCTTAACTGTAGCTTCCTACACCCTATCTTCTGAATATTAAATTTAGCTGTTAATATAGGTCTCCCTTCAATTACAGACCACTTTTGAGATTGTGGTTTCCATGTTCCTTTTGTAGCTTTGGTCTCTAATTAGTCTTTAATTGGAGGTAGTCTTTAATTGGAAGGACCTTTAATTAGAGGGAAACTTGTATTAACAGATTGGAAGATGGTAATTTGAGCATTTTGTAACTTTGCATTTCTATAGCAATTCTGTTTTAAGAATCGCAGTACAGTACTGTAACTATACTAGGGAAGAGTTCATCTTGACATCTCATCGCCTCTAAATATATCCTCTATGACTTTATATATACCTTACCACCTAAACCTTCTATTGTGCTTTCCTTGGCCAAATGAATATAACGACAATCAATAACACTTTACATCCTCTGTTATCAGTGGTAAGCATCACAATCGTGTAATGTCATTATTGACAAAGGTCATCTTTAATAAAGGAAAATTACAGAAAGATGGCTACCCTGGAGAATAACATCCAGGGTAGTCATATTCCATCATTGTTTACTGGATAATGCTTTGAAGTAATAATTTTATTGCATTCAATCTACTGAACAAATATAGTAAGGATATTCGAACCAACCTCATCTTCACATTATCATGAATATTTATATCTGCCTTCATATATAATTAGAAAGTATCACGCCACTGCATGTTTTTTTTTATGCGATCAGCTGATTTCTTTTTTTTATTATTATTCCTCAACTGAAGATGAAGATGGCTGAACAAAAATAGTAGAAAGTGAATGCAAATTTATAATATTTCTGTTGCCTTAATTTTATTATATCTTTTAGCTTCTTTTGAAGCTATCATAAAACATTTGAAGATAGATACCGTATATATTTTTTTATTGTTTATCTTTCAATCTAACTCATAAAATGTTAGCATTTCTACTGGCTTTTTATTACAGACTGACGACTTGTTTTGAAAGAAAAAGTCAAAAAAGATCTTTAGACCATCTGTTATTGCTATTTCTACTACATGTAGTAGTAATAGATATTGTACCAAGTAAAGTGGTTAGCTCTAGGACCTAATAGAAAAAAAAAAAAAAAATGGTTTTGTTAGGGCAAAACAATCCGTTTATATTTGTATCATTCACTGCAGTAAAGAATAATCTACACACGAGTGCAAACAACTGTATTTTGGTGGAGGCGACTTGGATTTAAATTTGTGGGGACTCCAATGTTGTAGTGAAGCTACAAAACAATGGTGATGTGTTAAGGGGGTGCGTTTGAGAGGGGACATGGTCTTGAGGGCCGCTAGGTCCTCCTGTTGGCCATCAACAGTCTTTTTAGTGGTTCAAGGTCTAATATGGGTTATGTACAATCAACTGATTTTCATGATTTTCTAATTTTCTAGATAAAACCCAACTGGTGAAAATAAAGGTCTTATTACACTGTTGACGTTGGGCAAAAAACCTCTTGTTTGATAAATGAAAAAAGTGGTTGATTTTTTTCTTCATTTTAGGTTTATAATTCAACTATGTGTTTTTTGTGTTTGGAATAATTTTCAAGGCAGAAGAGTCTACAGTCTGTGTTGTCTGCAGGGAGCTGTTATCTCTCTATGATGTAAAATAATAAAACAGCAAAATTATAAAAAATATTTAAATAATAATGATAGTGACGTAGATGAAATTTCCATCCAAGCATTGACGTATGGTAAATAGAGCATATTTAATTACAGTAATTGTTGACAATATGAATTTTACAAGTTTAACAATAGACAATGGCCAACGAACTATGGAAATATGCTTTGATTAACAGTGAATCCACAAATTGATTATCTATGTAGATGCATTCAGTGTAAAGCTTGATTTTTTCCTCCGTTTCATAAATTGGTGTATCTACCAACCTTCAAATTTATTATTAGCATGGCAAAGACAAGCGAAAACAGTCACTCCTCGCAAAAATTGATTTTGAGTTATTAATACAGGGTTAAAGAGTAAAATATAAGCTATAAGATGGTAAAAAAAAATCCTTTCCTTATTAAGTTACAAGCATTTAAACGTACAGCTGTTTAACGAACAGTAAATGAGAAATCTGCCTTCAAAGTTTATGATTTTGGGTATTTCTCATGCAGAAACTATCATAAAATCCTTAAAAATGTTGTCTTAACATTGAAAATGGGGAAAATAACAGCATAGCACATTACCAACTTGAGAGATTTTAAATGTGTGACTACACCAGTTGGGGGAGGGGGCTGCCAGCCCCAGAGCCGGAGCCCCGGTGGGGCTCCGAAGATCATGATCTCAGCATTTTTAAAACGATTTTGGGGAGTATTTGCTGACAATACCGGGTACGGTACATAAATAAAAATATTTTTAGTACAGTTCCAATGTACTATATGTTTAATTTGAGCACCTGAATATGTGCACAAACATTTCATTACTTAAACAAAAATGAAGGCATACAGATCAATTATTGGTAACGTCAGTGAATTAAGTATTCACATATTTAAGTTACTGCATGACCGTTTCTCTATTTTTAATAAAACCAATTTCTTTTAATTTTAAATACATTTAACCATATATTCGTTATCACGCATTGACCTGTGCTAAATGCATGATAAATTTATGATCACACATGTGTTTCTGCAAAATGCGTGTTTCATCCAAAATCACTTTCAAATGTGGGACCGTCCCGCACGATGGGGGACGGTTGGTAACTATGATAGCATGATGTACAATGGTTAGTTTAGTGCAATAAAATAGATTTTTAAAAATTTGACATTCCAGCGTGTTTTGACCATTTTCTCTGAAACACGATTAGCGACGAGTGACTGGTTTTGCTTGTCTGCCACATTTACTGTATTGTTACAAACTTGTGAAGATTGTGATAAATGTGTACCTCAGCCTCAAATTGTTCTAATTCTGTCTCTTATACACATCTAGATGTGTATAAGAGACAGGAATATATGTGCACAAACATTTCATTACTTAAACAAAAATGAAGGCATACAGATCAATTATTGGTAACGTCAGTGAATTAAGTATTCACATATTTAAGATACTGCATGACCGTTTCTAATAAAACCAATTTCTTCTAATTTTAAATACATTTAACCATATATTCGTTATCATGCATTGACCTGTGCTAAATGCATGACAAATTTATGGTCACACATGTGTTTCTGCAAAATGCGTGTTTCATCCAAAATCACTTTCAAATGTGGGACCGTCCCGCATGATGGGGGACGGTTGGTAACTATGATAGCATGATGTACAATGGTTAGTTTAGTGCAATAAAATAGATTTTTAAAAATTTGACATTCCAGCGTGTTTTGACCATTTTCTCTGAAACACGATTAGCGACGAGTGACTGGTTTTGCTTGTCTGCCACATTTACTGTATTGTTACAAACTTGTGAAGATTGTGATAAATGTGTACAGCTTGTAGTAAACTTTTATTATTCGTAGTGTACTTTGCTCGGAATAGTTTCTACTTTGACTCAAGTGTTTACTTGTGAAGCGGTTGGCGCAACGGTTGTGGCTAGGACTCTCAACTTTGAGGTCAGGGGTTCGAAACCCTCGCTGTGCAAGTCGCTTGTGTCCTGGCAAGACACTTTATCTACGTTTGTCTCTCTCCACCCAGATGTATAAATGGGTACCAACATATGCTGGGAAGGTAAAACAGACTGCAGTGCAGGAGGAGTGGCGAACCCCCCACATCCTTGCACAGTCTAGGCCAAATGCTAAAGAAAGAGAAACAGGCACTCCGGCCTGCTTTAGGTTTCAAACCTTTACCGTTACTTGTGTCTAACTCATAAACTTGTATAAACTTCAGGGATTTCATAACTTATTCTTAGTACTCCCGGCGATTACACCAATTATTTTATGAGCTAAGCTTGTAGCATCTTGTGCGATTCTGGAACATAAACAAGCTTGGTGTGAGAGCTGCTTTTGTAATGATAAACAGATATTCAACCTGTGATGGTACAATGATGGTTCCTTATTTTAAGGTATTTCAAGGTTCTTATTTTTTGGCCGATTTCAGGCTGAAAATGGTCTTATTTTGTTCTTATGTTACACACTTTTCAAACATAAAACATTATTGTACAGCAGCGACAGCAGTATACCTACACTGTATAGGAATGTAGGTAATGAAAAAAATGGCCTCTGAAAAAATTGGCCCCAAATGACAGGTAGGTACATCTACTGTACTATATTATAGATGGTATTACATAGTCACACCTACTGCATATAAGGATATATAATTTTTTGTTTTTCTAGTTTTTAAAAATAAAAATCTCATTTGACATTTTACCTCAGCCTCAAATTGTTCTAATTTTGTTTTTAATTTTTAAGCAATTTCAGCCTCAGTGTTCTTATAAAATGTGTTATAAAAAAAAGTGTATTAAATGACCCTTCAATTTTTAATCAATTCAACATTTTTTCTGTAAAAAAAGATCTGTAAATCAGTGAAAATTTATTTGGTTTTGTTACAATTTATTTGGAGTTTGTTTTATACATTTTCTAAAAGTCCTCAGTGGATTTACTGGTTCCCATTTGGTTTTATCTGTGTTACACTGGAAGTTAATATTTTTTGATGTTTTTTATATTGAGCTGCAATGTTTTGATTTAGTTTTTTATATGTTTTCCCAGACATCATGTATATTAATTTTATTACTGACAACTTTCAATTTAACATTAATCACTTTAAATTGCACAGCACTGCCATCATAATATTCTTGTTATTATGAATTTTATCTTAAGTTATCTAAAACTTATCAGTGGACCTATTGGTTTCTATTTGTCTGTATCTGTGTTACATGAATTTTATATTTTTTGATATTTTTTATAATATTGAGATACAATGTTTTAATTATGCTTTTTAAATGTTTTCTCAGACATTATGATAGACAGTATATTAATCTTATTACTGACAACTTTCAATTTAACATTAATCACTTTAAATTGCACAATTCTATCATCATATTATTCTTGTAATGTTATGAATTGCATTCTAAGTTATCTAAAACCTATCAGTGGACCTACTGGTTTCTATATTGTTTTATCTTTTACAAAGTTATTCTTTGATATATTTTTTATATTGAGCAATGCAATGTTTTAATTAAATTTTTTTAAATGTTTTTTTCCCAGACATATATGATAGACATTATATTAATTTATGTTACATTCAAAGCATATAAAGAACCGACTCCAGGCCAGGGGTTTAGCCAGAAAAGCAAAATAGGCCATCCAAAATGAAAGCCAGTGGGCGTGGCACTGAGCCGATGGGCGGGCCACGTTCATCTTTGGGAATCCCCACCAAATATTGATACGAAAACAACGTACATTCAATAAATAAATGTTATTTTTATTAACGTAAATATGATTTAGCTTTAGTTTAATCATGGACCTATTAATAAGAATGTAACATTCGATAGATTTGAAGAATATAAAGAATTTGCTGAATGTAGACCATGGCCCAATTAGGCTGGCCGAGCTGATTAGGCCAAGCCGTCCCAGCCGTCACGGTAAAAGTGGCCGTTCTAAATAATTGTAGGCCGTCCAAAAGACGGCCGGACGGCTTGCTGGCTAAGCCTATGCTCCAGGCTATCTGTCCGGTCGGCTTAACACCATCCAGCATTGTACTATATCTACAAGTGCAATAACTCAGGGCACTTGCAAGTTCCCAAACCAAAATTAGAATATTTTAAAAGTATTTTTAGGTGCCTTGCACCTACAATTTGAAATGCATTTCCTCAGTATTTCTGAAAATTTAATCAATTTAGGATTTTTAAAAGTAGTTTAAAAATTTATATTCTGAAACAAAGTTAATTATTTTAGTGATGAATGTCTTTGTTATTTATGTTATGTTGGCTTTATTACTTTCTGTCTTTTGTATTGTTTTTGATTTTATGATGTAGAGGGCCCCTGAATATCAGCCTAGCTGGAAGGGTCATCCTCTATAAAGATGGTTGAAATATAAATATTAAATACTGACAACTTTCAATTTAACATTAATCAATTTAAATTGCACAATACTGCATCATAATGTTCTTGTTATTATAAATAGCATTCCCAGTTATTTAAAACATATCAGTTGACCTACTGGTTTCTGTTTGGTTATTGTGTTAAGCCCCTCTCCCACTAGGGGTTTTTTCAGCATACGAGTTAGAAGAGTTTGCCGGCATAACTCGGCATAAACTCGGAAAACTCGGCATAAACTCGTAGGATGATTTGGGAAGCTTGGGGAGAACTCGTACTCGTCAGTTTTTTAAATTTTTTTCCAGACTATGATAGACAGTATATTAATTTATATTAAATACTGACAACTTTTTATTTAGCATTAATCATTTTAAATTGCACAAGATTGGCGTCATAATATTCTTGTTTATATGAATTGCATTCATTCTGTTTCTATGAGTCAGAATTGTTTACAGCTTATTGATTTGACCCGTTACTTGAATGGTGAATCATATGGTCAGCTCAGCACATCATCATTTCTCTGCCCATCCATTGTCATCATGTATTTTCCTAATGTATGATCAGCTGTTTGTTAAAATGTATTATGGGAGATATAGTCATATGCAAATTTTCCACAGTATTTTTACATTAATTCAGCAACAAAATTGATTATTAATAGAATTTATATGAATTTATATGTTAATATGCTATTTCATCATCTTTCTTGAGCAGGAGAAACCATTAGTAATATAAACTTGTTCCTTCTTCATCTGCTGTTGACAATATAACTATTGCTTTGAAATCACAACAAAAATATAAGACAAACAAGTACAAAAAAAATCCATTTATTATTATTATTAGCTTTTGACAAAATATTTGGCTACAAGTGACCAGCATGCCTAGTATGGTGTTATGGTTTCAGGTCACACACAACTAAACTAGTCGAACCAAAAGACCAAGACCGAGATTTAGAAATACAAAAAAATATACAAAACACCTTAAAAAATAATGTCCTTCTAGTGGTCATGATCTGGTGAATGAATACAAGCTATGAATTGGAGAACCAGCAGTTAATGCACTGTAACCTTTGCTATGCACACTTTAGGCGAGTTTTTACAATTTGTTTCATGAACCTGCTGTCTCTTAATGGTGATTTTGATCTAATGAATAAAATTACTTTTCTGTCCATTAGTCCATCTGTTGCCATTAAAAAAAAATGTTTTCTTTTAATACTTTTATTATGAAAGCCATTGCCATGAAATCCGAAAAAATATCTTTATTTTATTTTGTTATTAAATTTATATTTTATAAAATCTTTTTTTTTTTGGCCACTTTCTTAAGGTCTTTGAAAAAAATGGATTTAAACATAGATACTTAATTATTTTTTGTTGTTGTTTGTTCATGTATTTTTTTGTATTGTTTATTGTACTGTACACAGAGGGCCTCTTCTAGTCAGCTTTGTGCTGTAAAGCTGGGAACACACTGCGCCCGACGACTGTCGCAATTCAATGAAGAACACAATGCGACGATGCTCGCGGAAGGGATCATTTTTAATGATGATCCGTTCAGACGACCACCGACAATCAGCAGATGGTGTCACGTAATCTAGATTTCACAGATAGCGGTGTTGGATTCGTTGTGTGATGGTCATACGACGCAGAGATTGCCCGGCTTAAGAGTTACTGTACTCACTTAAAATATAGTATAATAAATAAATTAAGTAAATACAAATACAGTATAGGCTTAACATATTGTATGACTATAGTAGAATTTTTGAACTGTAAATCCTAAAGGTTATCGTAACAACAGTATTATATTGTAAAGTGGATTTTCCAATGTCAATCTCAATATTTTCATTGATTCTAAGATTATACTTTTTTTTTTTTTTAATTCCTCATAAATTCTTTGTTCATTAAGATTGGCATCATACATTTTTTTTTGAGTGTGATAAAATTTTCCATTACCATTTTTTATTTTGAAAAGAAGCCAAATTGTGTAACTTCCTCATTATTATACAAATTTAGACAATTATTCAGAAGTCTGCTTTATGTGACAATTTAGGGTTGCATGATGCAACACTGAGAAGTATTGTGAAATCAAATACTGTTTTTTTCATGGAGGTATTATAGTGATTACCTCCATGGTTTTTTTTAACCTATTTAGTCAATTTCACAAGTTGATTGACATGAGAAAAAACTAAAAATTAAATTATACTATATTTAAAATAAATTTTATTTTCTTAAATATATATCCTACATTAATGTGTTTATTCGGGGGAGGTGGTTATTTTAAACGAGGGAGGCGTTTTTTCGAGGGGGTGTTTATTGAAAGTGGCCGTTGATCCGAATCTGTGGAGGCTAAAACCCATCCTACTTACAATGAGGATTAATATCCACTCTCCAATTCGAGACCCCTCTAATTCCGAGACCCCAATTACAAAAAAACCAATTAACAATCTTCAATCTTTTACCACAAACCCAACCTTCTAGTTGGAGACCAAATCCCGAGACCACCACAAATTTTCAGGTCCCAAAAAAGGTCCTGAATTGGAGTGCAAACTGTATTGCCAAAGATTTGCAATACTCTACCAGCATGGGAAAATATGTTTACAAAATGACCACCTCCAGTTCAAGTCTAATTTCTATGACCTCCGCTTAAATGCCTAAAATTAAAATGCTTAAAATTTTACTAATTAGAAACCAAACCTAGTAATAGTATGAAATGTGGTCTTTTATGTCCTGTATAGATATTTCAATATGCATAAGTACAATAAAGATGACGATCAATACACTGTATGTTCATAGGCATGTAGTACTGTTTCAAGACATATTTATTTATTTTATTTTGAAAATCATCCAAAAGCGGAAGCCAATTACAGGATGTCTTATAATACATATAAATATATAGAAAAATACAAACAAGTGAAAGATAAATTGATAAATAACATTACAGTATAAAAAGGAAAAGAGAAATTTGCGCTATGTTTAGAGTGGTCATTCGTTCGAGCTCTGATCAATGAAACTGAGACTTTAGTTATCAAATTTTCTTT